TGAACTCTGGGCCTGGGCGCTGTCCCTCAGCTCTTCAGCTCAAGGCCAGCGCTCTACCACTTGAGCCACAGCGCCACTTCTGGCTTTTTTCTTTTTGCTTATGTGGTGCTGAGGACTACCATTGTATTTCTAAGCGTACTCTCTGCTAGTGGCATCTGAGACTTTTCTGTTTAGATATTATTCATAGATTTCATTGTATGAGATACAAAGATTTATCTCTTATGCTTCCATTCGCACCCACATTGTCTCTCCTTCCACCTAACAAAGTTTGGTTATATTAATATGACTGTAAATATTCATCTCAGGGTGACATTGTCCAAAAAGAATTATACTCACAGCAGGGTTCTGGTGGCTCACACCTGTAATCCTAGCTACTCAGGAGAGTGAGATCTGGGGATCACGATTTGAAGATATCCCTGGCAGAAAAGTCCCTGCAACTCTTATCTCCTATTAGTCATTCAAAACTGGAAATAGAGTCATGGCTCCAAATGATAGAGCACTAGCCTTGAGCACAAAAGCTCAGGAACAGAGCCCAGTCCCCTCCTCCCACCCCAGTTCAAGTCTGATGACTGAAAAAAAGAAACAGAAAAAGAAAAAGGATGATATTCATTATGTGACTTATGAAATGGTAATCCCTCTATACAACACCTTCATAATAACAAAAATTATATTTAAAATAACAAATTATATATTTAAGATCTTCCTTCTGATCATATAAAATAATATTTATCAAAATGAATTCCAGGAAATGTAAAAAAAATTCATCTCAAGTCATAAATGAGTATCTTGATTTTTTTCTTGTACAGATGTCTTGTTCTCTTATTTTTATAAAGAGACTGTCTATTCTCTCCTTAAACTTTTTTGACCAAGCTGTGAAACAGCTGCCAGGTATTAATCAGTATTTGTTTCCTTTCCCCCCTTGAACGCTACTCTTCTTTGGCACTCTGGCCATGCTTCCATTCTGGCTGGCATTTTTTTTCCTGGGATAGCCCTCTCTCTGCCCTCTGGACTCCTGCTTCCGCCCCCATTTTCCTCTCATTAGCTTATGCCTTCATGTTGTTGAGCACATCTTGAAGGAGCTTCCTCGCACAGGAGGCTTGGCATACAGTACTTCCAAATATAATGAGTCTACTCTTTTGCTCACGGCATAGCCAAATTTTAGCTAGGAAATGGTTTTCCCTCAGAAATGTAAAAAATATTACCTTCTAGTATCGAGTTCTGCTTTTGAAAAGTATGATGTTATCTAGGTGTCTTGTTTTTAACATGTCACTTATTCTCTCCCTTTTCTATTTCAAAAAATACTATTTTTATTGCTGGTGATGTAATTTATTTTAGTGCCTATCTTGAGGCTTGAACTCAAGGCCTCATGCTCTCACTTGGCTTTTTTCCCCTCAAAAAAAAGCTGATGCTCTACCACTTAAGCCATAGTTACACTTCTGGCTTTTTACTGGTTAATTAGACAAAGGAGTCTCTTGGGCTTTTCTGGCAAGGCTGGCTTCAAACCATGATCCTCAGATCTCAGCCTTCTGAGTAGCTAGGATTACAGGAATGAGCACCAGTGCCTGTGCTAACATTTCTTGATAATGTGACATGGTGTGTTTTTGTTCTTGTTTTATCCCCACATTCATCATGTTAAGCATTTGATAAGCTATTGAAATGTCAAAGCTTTTCGTTCAGCTCCAGGAAATTCTCCTATATAGTTTCTTTTATGAGTTTTTCCCTTCTACTTTCCTGGAGTCTTCTTCATCATAGTGATGATTTGAATGTTGGGTCTATACCTCTGGTCCTCTCATTTTAACTCCAATTATTTTTTGTTATCTATCTCTTTGTTGTTGTAGTAATTCTGAGAGGATTTTTTAGATAAGAAAAAAATCTTTTTACATTTTTTTCTCATTTTTGGGGTGGTTGGCTTTCATGACACTAATTTTGTCTAGTGACCTTTGACTATCTGTTCACAGGATAACTATATTATAAAATGAACTATGAAAAATGATTGAAAGTTCTGAATAAAACTAGGTTTCTTGATGGTTTTGTTTCATTCTTGAGTTGGTTGGTTTGTGTTTTGCTGGTCCTGGGGCTTGAACTCAGGGCCTGTTCTCTGTCCCTGAGCCTCTTTGTGCTCAAGGCTAGTGCTCTACCGCTTGAGGCACAGTGCCACGTCCAGCTTTTTCTGAGCAGTTTATTGGAAATAAGAGTCTCCTGGACTTTTCTGTCTGGGCTGGCTTTGAACCGTGATCCTCAGATCTCAGCCTCCTGAGTAGCTAGGATTACAGTCTTGAGCCACCGGTGTCTGGCTCATTCTTGAATTTTTAAGTAAGAATCTAGCCAATTTTCTTGGCTTGGATTTTTTTATCCTGTGAGAAATTTCAACCTTATGGAAAAGATGGTGGGGAAGGAGAAAGAGAAAGATTGATTTTCTGAAAGGTACACAAGGGATAAGGGTCAAAAATATTTCTGATCAGTATGACTTACTATACTCTTGTCCTGTGTCCAATACCTTCTAGTCCTAGATCTCTCAGGCTGTTTCTCTAGAGGTAATGCATGCTCCATTTTGCCTGGCACAAGGACCATCTGATTGCAAAGGTGAGGGTGTGAGTTGGGGTCTATGATCTGCCTCTCATGGCTCCTTTCAGAGTTAACTGGTACCTTCCGTTGCTGAGTTGTTTTATTGGCTTCCCACATCATGCAGTTAGGTTTCAAATTTCTAGGGCTTCCTATGACAGTTACTACTTGACATCTGCTTTCTATCTTGAAATTTTTTCTTGTCATCTTTCTTTTGCTCTCTTTGCAATTTTATCCCTTATTTTTATTTCTTTATTACCATTTTATTGAGGCTTTGGAAAGAGTGCATTTAAAACCATATAGCCAATCTTCATGAAAACCAGGAGCACTTTATATTTTCTTTTTGCAGTGGAAGATAAAAGCCAAGAATCATCTACAAAGTCCTATATATTGAGGTAAGTTTTCTTTTATTTACTGTCTATAAATTTATTTACTAAAAGGAATATTGATTTAAATTTTTCTATAATAATAACTTCTTTAATTTATCAAAGGAAATAGATATTTGTATCTCTTACAGTGCCTTTTTACAATGTTTTTAGGAAGAATGTCGGAAATTATTAAATATCTTCTATTGAATTGAAATTAAATATATCTATATAGACTATATAGCCTATTCCTCTCTTTCTCTCCTCTCTCTCTTTCTCTCCCCATCTTGCTCTCTGTCTCTGTCTCTGTCTGTCTGTCTCTCTCTCTCTCTCTCTGTATGTGTGTGTGTTTATTGGTAGAGGGGCTTACACTCGAGGCCTGGGCACTATCCCTTGTTTTTTTTACTCAAGACTAGTATTCTACCCCTTGAACTGCTGATCTAATTCCAGCGTTTATCTGAACTAGTTTTGAACCATGATCCTCAGAAGCTAGATCTTGAGTAGCTAGGATTACAACTGTGAGCCACTGGTGCCTGGCCTGTTTTGAGTATTGAAAACAATGTACTATCATTAGAGTGAGCACAACTTGTTTTATATAACAAACCTCTGAACAATGTAGGAGGAGGAGATGAGATCCCACAGGAAAACTGTAAACATTTGAATAGAAGCCATCACCCAACACTATGGCCTTGGTCTTGAATTCCTTGACCAAGGTATAAGTCTGGAGTCTCAGGTATGGTTTTGCAGCATTTATCTCCTTCAACTTTCCCATCGGCATCATTTTGATAGCCAGTCACATGTAGAAAACCAAACTAGGGTCAAAAATACAGCTTGATTTAGTTCAGGTTACCTTGATTGTTCTTGTATCAAAGAGGAGCAGAACTAGACAACCTTAGGGGCTCCTGTGGGTGAAAAAGCACTGAAAATGAAGTGAAGGGCCCGCGCGGGTAGGATCCAGTAGAGGCATTGTCACTTAAATGTGTTGTTAATGTAGCACAAAGCACTTCACGGGCAGAAAACAGGCCTGTGATAGACGCCCAGGACACAAACACTATTTTATCACCTGTAAAACATGAATGTTCCAGAAATATCAGAAGTTGGTCCTATGTGTGGTACAATTATTTGCATCCCATAAGGTGACAGTGCCAGCATTCGCTGAGAAGGCAGTGGGAATGGACTGGAAGAGGGTCTATAGTCCCAGCTTCGGCAGGTCCTCTGAACCAAACCAAGAAGAAATGACACCAGAATGAGGTGTGGTGGATGGTGTTCACCTTGTGCTGCTAACCTGACTTCCCTAGTGAAGCCTTCCAAGAAACTCAGGCAGAGAAATATTGTCTAGACAATAACAATCTATTTCCAAGGGTACCTATGGCTGCAATTTGCTGTGTATCTGTGAATTTCAATGATACATTTGTCCTGAAATACAGCTCAGGTACATCTAGGTTTTTGGTTTGTATTCACAGCGGATTCTTGGGAAATAATTCAAAGCAAGATAATGCTCTCGACCTTGTGACAGTCTATTGCCATCAGCTTAGAACTTTGCATTAACTTCAGGAGCTGGAAGGACTAAGCTGGTTATAGAACTGTATTCCAGGCAGAGCCAGACAGTTAAAATCCTGTTTCCAATAGGCCACAAAACACAGGTGGAGTCCTTTCAGTGGGGTAGAATAGAACTAGGAGACTCAATTGATGCTCAGTCATTGAAGATGCCAGGAACGTGTACTAGTCGGCTGGTATGTCTGCCATGGTCTACAGGACACCAGTTACAGTGATGAGCAGGTTTTTATTTCTTGGGAAACAGTATTTATGTATTTAAGGCTCCATAAATAAACATCCACTTGTAGCATATGATCTGAGCTGAACATTGTGACTCAATGTTGAAGACTTAACTGGGTAATAGCTGTTCCCAACCTCATGAGATTTACACTCTTCTGAAAGGAAGACAGTATAGCGAACAGGACTGATTGTTGGTCCCTGAGCACTAATAGAGGGAGCATCTTCCAACAGAGGGTACAGCTGAAATGTCACAGAAGAAATTTGAGGAATGCTAAGGTCAGATCACAATGAAAGCAGAAACTTCTTCCCCTGTGGTTCTAATGTTGCCTTAGAGGCTTCCTTTAAAAGCCTTAACTTTTTCACCAAGTTATCTATCTATGAACTTCTTTCCCCTCCCTCCCTCCTTCCTTCCCTCCCTTTCTTCCTTTCTTTCTTCCTTCCTTCCTTCCTTCCTTCCTTCCTTCCTTCCTTCCTTCCTTCCTTCCTTCCTTCCTTTCCTCCTTCTTCCAGACAATGCAAGGCTGAGGTTTGAACTCAGAATCTTGTGCTTTCTAGACAGATGCTCTACCATTTGAGAAACATGCACCCAGCCCTTTTTGCTTTAGTTATTTTTCAGAGAGGGTCTCAACATTTTTTGCTGGGGGCAGGGCTCAGATCACAGTCCCCCTACCTGTGTTTTAGAATGACAGACACACACACCAGGCTTATTTGTTAAGTTCATGTTGATGCATTTTGCTAACTTGTATGCTCAGGCTGGCTTAGAGCCATAATCCTTCCAATCTCCACCTCCTGTGTAGCTGGGATTACAGAAATGAAGCACTGTATCCAGTCTTAGAATCCTCTTTTTAAAATGTCTTATTGAGCCATATCTGTTTATTGCTTCTATGTTATTTTTGAATAGGATATTGTAAGCGCTATGCAAAGTTAAGATCAGAGATACTGAGGGAATATAGAGGCAGAAATGGCTTCCTAAGGCTTGGAAGGGAGTTGGGAGGGGAGTGGAGAGTAGAGTCGGCAGGCAGAGACTTCTAGGAGAGGGAAACACACATGTGAAAGTGTGGAGATACCCGAAGATGTGTTTTCCACATCCTGCTGCAGACAGATATCCCCGCTTATCGGCAAGGCTTATGTTTCAAGACCACTAACCAAAGCCTCAGCTAGCCTCCAACCCCACATGTGTCTATGCACTCCTATATATCTGGATGATAAAGTTTCACTTATGAATTCAGCATGGTAGCACATTCATACCAATAAATGATTACTCAGGACAAAATACTATAGAGTAAGTTATGTGAATATTGTTTCTCTCCTCTCTCTCATTCCCTCATTCTCTATCTCAAGCTTTTTTTTGTCCTTTTGTATTGAATTCATTTTTTATTGTGAAAATACTGAACAGAGGGGTTACAATTACATGGGCAAGGTAATAAGTACATTTCTTATCAAGCATTGTTGCCTCCTCCTTTGTTTCCCCTTCCTATCCCTTCTCATCTCCCCTGAATTTATTTTAAAGGTATGATATCAACCTATCATTAAATATCTACAATATGAGAGGAAAAAAGTCAATAATTAAGATCCAAATAATGTGCTTAAGAGGCAGAGAAGATGAGGTTCCAAGGTGGGAAGCTTCTAGCCTATGCCAAGACTTTGTCCACATGCTCCCAAGAGTCTTTGTTACTTTGGCACAAGAAAAAATAGCTCTTTCACTCTTTTATTTTACCTTTAAAAATCTTTTCTTTTTGAGACAGGATCATACTCTCTAGCCAGGTTATTCTCTCTTTTTTTTAATTGTAATTTTGCTTTCATTTTAATGAGCTCTGGGTCTTTAAAGTAGTACTTTCACATGAATAAACCCTAAGAGAGAAAAACCAGAGCCAATGACAGCATAGACTTGCTCCTTTGTGACCTCTAGCCTCCAGTTTTTCTTAATTAAAGTTTAAATGTACCATTAGACATGTAAAATGAGTACATTTGTGTATCTTCATTGCACACAATAACAAAATGCATTCTTCTCTGAAACTTAGTTTTATCCTAGAGGTATTTAATTGCACATATTAACAAACCTTATTATAAAGATAGTTGCATAATATTTTCTCTAAATAATACAACTAAATATTTTATCATCCATCCATTAATGGACATTTTTAAGTTGTTTTTGTACCTGATTGAGATAGAATATGGAACAGTAGATATAGGTTGAGTACTAATGGCTCACATCTGTAATCTTAACTACTCAAGAGGCTGAGATATGAGGATCATATTCAAAGTCAGCCTAGGCAAGAAAGTCTGCAAGACTCTTATCTCCAGTAAACTACTCAGAAAAGGCCAGAAGTGGCACAGTAGCTCAAGTGTAGAGTGCTAGCCTTGAGCACAAAAAGATTCAGGGATCGTGCCCAGGCTCTGAGTTCAAGCACAAGGACTGGCCAAAAAAAAAAAAAAATGCAAAGGAATGCATTCACGAAGAACAAAAAACAATGACACTTGAGATAGCAAGGTACTATAATGAGGAGCTACGAGAAACTTTGCTCTGGTTCAATTTTTTTTTTTTTTTGGTGGTGGGCATCAGGGTGGTCATGGTGTTTGAACTTGGTGTGAGGGCCTGGGCACTGTCCTTGAGCTCTTTATGCTCAAAGCTAGAGCTCTACCACTTTGAGCCACAGCCCCACTTCTGGTTTTCTGGTGATTAATTGGAAATAAGAGTCTCACAGACTTTCCTCCTAGGGCTGGCTTTGAATTAGGATCCTCAGTTCTCAGCCTCCTGAGTAACTAGGATTACAAGCATGAGCCACCAGCGCCCCACTGGATTCAGTCTTTTAAAGTCAAGTTCCCATTCCTTGAATGGACACCATGCTGTGGCAACCCCAGAGCCCATCAGTCTGTCACTCAGAGCCAGGGGGGGACCAGTCTTAGATTGCATGACACCTGACAATGACATGACACCAGCCACCAGTGTCCACTAGGACCAGCTTCATAGTGTTCCTGGACTCAAATTTGATGAGAAAGAATTTGACCGGCAGAGAAGAGAAAAGGCTCTCTAAAGAAACATACTTGCACAGAAATGGAAGTATAATATTATGGTATAATAATATAATATAATAATTGAAATAAGCCAAGAATTCCATGTGATGGAGGTTCTGCAAAGAGGGAAGAGACTGCTGAAGCAAAGGCTGGAAATGGAGAAATAATGAAGAGCCTCAGGTTCCATTTGCAGGTGTCCACGTAATCCTATAGAATTAGGTAGCCAATGGGCTTTCTAGCAGAGGCATGGCAAGCTGGAACTGAGTGAGAACGCGATCAGGAGGCTGACTAGAGTTAGCAGGAGAGAAACGCTGAAGGTAACAGCTGACAGCTAAGTTAAGCCTGGCTCTGCTCATGTGAGATTCCCTGGAATGCTCAGACAGCTGTGTGAGAAGGTTCCATCTCCTCCAGAGATGAGGAGACTAGTGTGGAGATGTTGGGTAACTTGTTCAGAGTCACACAGCCAGGAAATAGGAAGGCTAGAGAGTTCTTTTTTTTTTCTTTTTTAGTTTAGTTTTAAAATACAGGCCAGCTGAGCCTAGATCCTGCCATTGCCACTGAGATACCAAGGCCTAAGCCATGATGCCAAGAGGGGTCCTAACAGAATTGTAGATGCGTTTAACTGCTCCCCTCCCCCGATGCATACACATGCTCACACCAGGCTCATTTGGCTGCCACGTTGCTTCCATAAAAGAGCATGACTGTTCTTTTCTTTTTCCTTTCACGAACCCTTCTTTTTCTCACTGGCTCCCTTTAACTGGGAGGCAGTGTCCACACTTTCTTTTCTAAACACTCTTTTCGAGGTGGTTTTCCCCCGAGGCCTCATCTATCAACCTTCATGTCGATTTGACCCAAATCTCTCCTTCCCATTCCCCATTTCTCAATCACACCCCTGAAGGTCATTTTGACTTGTCTATGCTCTCATCACGTAAGGCCCCATGCCTAAAATTAAACTCATATTTTACTTCAGACCCTCCTGATGCTTTCTATTACCAGTGAACCTAGTCTTAGGAATTGAGAAGACGGTTTGGCCTGAACTGCCTTTGCCTTCACACCCTGTCAGGTGTAGATTCTTCAGCATCATCTTAGATTCATTTCCTCCCCTGTCCCATCCATTCTTCCCCGCCCCTTCCACTCACTTCAGTTCCTCTATATTGAACTCCCCACTCTGGTCAACTACCTCACCCTCTTCCTCCCTTCCCCAGCACACACAAACACTCGTGCACACATGTTCACACCTGACTCCTTCCCACCTATGGTGTGTTGATGCTGGGTCCCCTACCTAGGTTGGGCTTGAACTCAGGGCCTGAACACTGACTCTGAGCATCTTTTGCTCAAGGCTAGTACTCTGCCACTTGAACCACAGCTCCACTTCCAGCTCTTTCTGAGTAGTTTATTAGAGAGAAGAGACTCACAGACTTTTCTCCACATGCTGGCTTCGAACCTTGATCCTCAGATCTCAGCCTCCTGAGTAGCTCGGATTACAGGCTTGAGACACCAGTGCCTGGCTCCTCCTTTTATTTTCAGACTTTTACCTTAGTGACTGTTTCCTTGCTGGCTTCCAGATAGAGGTTAGAAAATATTTCCCTCCTCCAATGTTTTTTGTTTATTTTCACTATGGAAGAAGTGTCTGCTAATGTGTTATATTCTCAAAATGTTAAACCATGTAACACTTTATTGTTTTAAGATAAACACTCTTCTATCCATAAGTCTAGGTATATATTTTCCCAACAGGATAAGTTCTAATATTCACTTATAAATTATGTCTTATATGTTTTCCTATTCAGAACATCAGTGATAACATTCAATAAATCCTTGTTAATGGTTGATGCTACAAACACTTGGATTTTATACTAGATATGTCCCTATAGGCTTAATTGTTCAACAGAATATTATTTATAATATTAGTATTCTGAACACTATTCTTTTAAAAGTCTGCTTCCTTGATAGAATCAAAAATACAAATACTCTGCTGTGTATATTCAAGCTAACTAAAGTTATTATACCTTGTATGGTAATATTTTTAATTATTCTGGAAGAAAGAAAAGAAAGCCCCTGAAGGCTAACAGTTTGAAATTGAACAGGACACCCCTGGGAAAGGAGAAGGGTCATGGGTCATAGTCAAACAGACAAAAAACAATGAGGACGATTGTGCCTGAAGATGGTGTTGGTTGTGTGTTTTTTTTTTTTTTCTGGAGACAGTGTGTTGACAGTTTCCTTCCTCTAGGGTTATTGTTGTATGCCAAATGACCTGTGACAGCAAATTGATCACAAGCTTTTTCATGCAGGAGATATAATGTAGCCTTTCATACTATTACCTGAATTGCCAAATGCAGAAACTTCTCAATGGCAAATTAATGTTAGTTTAGTATGTCATTTAGTAGTGTGAAACACCACAGGCAGTTCTGGAAGCAATAATAGTATGATTCATTGATCTTCATGAAGTTTCAGGTCTCTCCTTAAATGTGATTGAAAAAAGTAATAACAAATTTGAAAAATGTTAGTCTTAAAATTAAGTGTTTAATTGTTATTTAAATAAATGAGTGTATTGACACACTTGGGTTTTGCTAAATTTGTTTCAAAATTAAGTCAAATGTTTACCCTAAGGTACCTTTGGTTATAAAAATTAATGCTAATATACTTGCTCTAACTGAAAAATGATCCGTTCTTCCAAAGAGCAAGGAACCTAAATTGGAGAAAACATGTATGGCCCATTATATTTGATGTGTAAGCATCTGTTTAAACCAGTTAACTGGTGATTTCACATGTCTAAAAAAATATCTCTTAAGTAATCTTTTGTTTATTGAATGTTGAAAATCTCTGTGTTAAAAAAATGTGGTAAAAAATACTTTCCACTGAATTTAAGAGACTAGAATTTCTCTTTTTTATTTTTAAATGTTTATTCAGTTGTTTATTTTGTGTGCATGCTAGTACTTAGACTTGAACTCAGGGCCTGAACTCAGGAGCTTTTTTTTTTATTAAGGCTAGCACCCTATTACCTGAGCCACAGCTCTACTTACAGCTTTATGCTGGTTGATTGGAGATAAGAGCCTCCTGGATTTTCTGTGCATGCTGGCTTTGAACAATGATCCTCTGATCTCATCCTCCTAAGTAACTAAGATTACAAGATTGAGTCACTGTCTCATTTTTAATGCTTTATAATAACCTTTGTTTTATTAGTTATTACATAGGAATAGCAGTAAAGAGAAGGAAATGTGGGAGTAGGGATATTAGAAAAGAGTTATTTTTCATTCTCATACTTTTATTCTCTCATAATAAGAAAGAAAAAGTGTAATACTATAAAACTGACAGGAAATGCAAGGAAATCATTCATTATAGAATGAGGAAATTTATACACATAATGCTTAGCTTAACGTTCTTTTCAGATGTTGGTCATTAGAGATAGACATCCTAAATGTATGTTTCTTTTCAATATACACATAGAAGAGTATTTAACTTTATTATTGAAAAAATGGATTGGGCAGGTTTTCTTTCTTTGATTTGTATTCATCAGTGGTGAATTTTATGTTGGATTCACTTGTTAGAAAAGTATTAAAGCCTACAAGCATGATGGCTCACACTTGCAATCCTAGCTACCCAGGGGGCTGAGATTGAAGGATCACAGATGGAAGTCAGACTGGGCAGAAAAGTCTTCCAGACTCCACCTCCAACTAATCAGCAAAAATACCAGACAGGTGCCATGCCTTGAACAGTAGAGCACCAGCCATGAGCAAAAATGCTGAATGAACTTATTAATAAAATAAATAACAATAAAAATAAAAAATAAAAAAATGTCAAATGAGAGCATGGCAACTTGAGCTCAAGCCATAGTACCTGCAAAAAAAAAAGGCGTGTGTTGGAATTTGTGGTCAGTGTAATGTTTCATGACAAGATATTATCTGAATAGACCATTCTAAAATGATTTTTAAAAGCAACAAAGTACCTATTGTCTGGTTTTTGTTTATATTTTCAGAAACAAGGAACCGGTCACATTTAGTGATTACTACAAGGCATGGTCTGAAATCGCCACATCGAAAACCACAGAGCAATACAGAAATTCATGTAAGGTGACCTAGCCATAACCTATGTGCTTTCAGTGTACATTAATCTGTGCAATATCCTCAGCTTCTGTTGCTTTTGAAGACTATAGACACATATCTGTTATTTAAGAGGGGTAAACATCTCTGTTGACTCTATGTACTAGTCATTCAACAACTAGTAATTTAGTTCCTCTTTAGGGGACTAGACTGAAATCTGATTAAAAGCCAGAAAGGCAATGGGAAAAATAAAAGGTGAGTTTCTGCTATTCCTAAGGTTTACTTAACTCCCTTTACTCTGTAAAGGAGACTTTGTGGCTGAAGGAAACTTCAATTCTAAACAAAGTTGCCTTCTGAGCCAGAAAATGTATTAAGTAGAGAATAAGAGCCTAGGGCTGTTCAGTCATATAGATCTAAAGGGAAATCAGTCATTACCATTGTGTGGTAAACACTCAGAAACTATGAAGACAGAATGGCAGAGTGGACAGCTTGCTGGTTGCACTGACGTGGATCTGTAGAATACAGTTTCATAATGCGGATCAAAGGAGGCTATGCTGAAGTGTGCTTTTGCCTGAGCCAGCCTGTGAACATGGTGCGTCTGGAAGTGAGCCGTTACTTTGTGGTTCCCATGTTCAGTGATGACTGCACAGTCCTTTCACTTTGATTGTCTGTGTTCTTCTTGACTTACATGATACTCTACAGCCATGATTTTTCTTCTCTCCTAAACACTGTTTTGCCTTTGAACAAGAAGTTCCTCCTTCAGTCCTTTCTACCCACTGCCATGTGACTGCTAAGGGCACTTTTCTAGCCAGATGACTCTTCAGAACTCTACACACACATATTACAACTGCACATTGGAAATCTTACCTATATATATTAGAGGCATGTCATATTGAAGGTGTCCCCAAATGAATAGGTCACTATCTTGGCATTGTCTTTATGAGGCCAATCCTTGAGAAGTTTTCTATCCCTTTAAATCTCTCTCTCTCTCTCTTTCTCTCTCTCTCTCCCTCTCTCTTTTTCCCACTCCCTCTCTCTCATCAGTTGTGGGCCTTGAACTCTGGGCCTGGGCACTGTCCCTGAGCTCTTCAGCTCAAGGTGAGTGCTCTACCATTTGAGCCACAGTGCCACTTCCAGTTTTCTGTTGGTTACTTGGAGATAAGAGTCTCACGGACTTTCCTTGCTTGAGCTGGCTTCAAACCATGAACCTCAGATCTCAGCCTCCTGAGTAGTTAGGATTACAGGAGTGAGCCACCAGCTCCTGGCTCTTTAATCTCTCTCTTTAAGCTTTCTTTACTCACAATATTATGAATACTTTTCTCCTCTTCTATTTTGTATGGTTAATGTACATTAATAAAGAAATGTCATGTTCTTTCAGGAAGTCAATTATGAATTTGTGATTATACTTATGCTTGTAATCCTAGCTACTCAGGAGGCTGAGATGTGAAGGTCTGTGGCTTAAGGGAAAAGAAGTCTATGAGACTTGACCACCAAAATTAACCAGCAAAAATCAGGGTGAAAGGCATAGCCCAAGTGGTACAGCACCCACTTAGCAAACATGAGGCCTTGAGTTCAAACCCCAGTATTACTCATAACAGTTGTGTGTGTGTGTGTGTGTGTGTGTGTGTGTTAGGTACACAGATTTTAGCAACTATTTCAGTATGAAGAATTTCTTTCTTTCTGATCTGAGTATATATGAATGTTTTAATTTCAAAGATATGTGATGGGCAAAGCTTAGTCCATTCAGCAAACACATTTCAACACCTGCTATAATGGAGGCACTGGAGCCTCCGTGGTCCCAGGCCAGTACCCCCCTCAATGCACAAACACGGTGACATCACTGGGCACACTTTAGGGACTGAGTCAGACAAACTCCTTCAAGTGCCAAAAAGTTATAGGTTGGCATTTGTTGGAATAATGAAGGGGCACTTAGATACTCTGAATTCCTAGAGAAAAAAATAATTATAAAAACATTGCCTAAAAGTAAGGAGATTTGGAGTGATTGTCTTACAATTCAGAGCAATTAAGAATGAAAGGAAATAATGATGATCATGAATGATAGCTTCTTTCTCATGCGAGTGTGATCTCCAAAGCCTTTCATTTTGATGCTTCTGTATCTGTTACTCGCCTAGTATGCAGCTTACCCCTCTCCATGAAGACAACAGGTTGGTAATGGTTATTTCCAGCCAAGAATTTCTTTTTTTAATACGTTTTTATTGTAAAAATACTGTACAGAGGGATTAGTTACATGAGTACATGAGCAGGGTAATGAGTACATTTCCTATCAAGCATTGTTACCTCCTTTGTTTTTCTCCTACCATCTCTTCCCTCCCACCTCCACAACTATACTCCCCCCACCACCTAAATTGTAAAGTTCATTTGCAACATAGTGTCTTGTGCATCTCATTGTTACAATGGGTCAACCTGTATCCCCATTTAAGCATTTTGTTTTTTCCTTTCCCTTCCTTGAATTAGAGAAGTGTGTATACAAGATGTAGGGCATCGACATCAAATACAGTGAAAACAGGGGTTATTCCATGGGAAGGAACATATAAAGAAATAAAAAGATCACATGGAACATTATAAATATGTTAGAAACAATAGCAAGAAAGAAAAAACCACTTGTGTCCCTATCTTGGGGTTCATTTTGCTTAACATCATTTTATCTGTTCATATGTACATAGCTTTTGACCTTTTCTGCTCGTCCCAGACAAATCAAATAAAGACTGGACAAATGGGATTGCATAAAGCTGTAGAGCTTCTGCATGGCAAAAAACATAGCTTGCAAGATCAACAGAAAGCCCACGGATTGGGAGAAGATCTTTACTAGCCATACAACAGATAAGGGTCTCATATCTAAAACATACTTGGAACTCAAAAAATTAAATCCCCCCACAAAAAATCTTCAAAGAAACCACTGCCTGATAAATAAGTGGGCTAAAGACTTAGAGAAAATTCTCTGAAGAGGAAATAAGAATGGCCAATAGACACATGAAGAAATGCTCAACCTCTCTAGCCATAAAAGAAATGCAAATCAAAACAACAGTGAGATTCCACCTCACCCCAGTTAGAATGGCTATAATCAAGAAATGTGATAACAACAGATGCTGGAGGGGATGTGGCCAAAAGGGAACCCTACTGCATTGTTGGTGGGAGTGTAAACTTGTTCAGCCACTTTGGAAACCAGTATGGAGGTTCCTCAAAAGACTCCATATAGAGCTCCCCTATGACCCAGCAATCCCACTTTTGGGCATTTACCCAAGTGATCACAAACAAGGCCATACTAAAGGTACCAGCACAACTACGTTTATTGCAGCATTATTTACCATAGCTAAGATATGGAATCAACCCAGATTCCCCTCAGTAGATGAATGGATCATATACAGTGGAATTCTATGTCTCCATCAGAAAGAATGGCATTGCCACATTTGTTAGGAAATGGAAAGAAAGACTTGGAAAAAATTATATTAAGTGAAGTAAGCCAGGCCCAGAGAAACCTAGGTCCCATGGTTTCCCTTATTTGCAATATCCAGCCAAGAATTTCTGAGATTTGGAACCTTTGTGCCAGATTTCACAACCCCTGCCCCATTCTTTCCTTGGAATTGCTATGAGAATGTTTTGAGAGCTTTACTTCAATAATAACCAATACTTAATTCAAAAAAAATAAGTGTAAACTTCACATGTGCTGCTGGCCATTTTGTCTTTTGATAGTTCAGCTGGATGAGATCTAATACTATCTTTTCTAGTGGCCTAATTTCCTGGCAATAATAAAGATGAAGCTTTTAGATTGTAGAATTCTTCAACAACTCAGAAACGAAAAAGAAAACTTCCAATAACTTCATTTTCTATGGTTACATTCTTATTTGGTAAGGTTTATTAAAGTCAATATGCATATTTTTAAATTATGATTATTATTTACTGGCTCTGGGGCTTGAACTCAGGGCCTAGGCACTGTGCTGAAGGCTAGTGCTCTACAACTTGACTCACAGCATCACTTCTGGTTTCTGGTAGTTAATTGGAGATAAGAGTCTCATAGACATTCCTGCCCAGGCTGGCTTTGAACTGAAATACTCAGATCTCAGCCTCCTGAGTAGCTAGGATTATAGGTGAGCTACTAGCACCTGGCTCAAAATCATTATCTTTTATGAACAGTGAATAAAAATATTTGATTTGGGTTAAAAACCCTTTTGATATCTTTGTATGTGATCATACTTAGGGTTTTTTTATTTTTTGGCAGGGGGTGTTGTTTCATGGTGCCAGTCCTGGGACTTGAACTCAGAGTTTGATGCTGTCCTCGAGCTTTTTTGGTCAAGACTAGCACTCTGCTTCTTGAGCCACAGCTCTATTTTTGGCTCTTTGGTGGTTAATTGGAGATAAGAGGCTCATGGACTTTCCTGCCTGGGCTCGCTTTGAATCAAAATCCCCAGATCTGGGGCTGGGAAGATGGCTCAGTGGTAGATCACTTGCCTTGCATGCATGAGGCCCTGGGTTCAATTCCTCAGCACCACATAAACAGAAAAAAAAATCCCCAGATCTCAGCTTCCTGAGTAGGTAAGATTACAGGCACAAGCCACCCGTGCCTAGCTTGGTGATGCTTTTATTTATCCACTGTTATTTAGTGAACACATAATGTATCTTGTGCACAGTAGTATATTAATCCTGTGACATGGGTATTAGTAATCTTGCCCTAGTTTACAGAAAGGAAAACAAAGAATAAGGGTTGCTATGTAGTTTACACGTGAGGCAGAGTATCATACACTAGTAAAGAAAATAACTTCCACATCCAGATCACTGGAGCTTAATCCTGGCTCTGACATTTACAATCCATGCGACATGAAGTGTATTTTGTTGTCCTTTGGGGCCTAGATTTGAATTTTCTACTGCTTGAGCTACACTCTCAGCTCTTTGGACTTCAGTTATTTTTTACATAGTATCTACCATTTTTGCCTGGGTTAACCTAGACTGTGATCATCCTATTTAAGCCTTCCAGATAGCTGGGATTGCAGGCACATTTCACCATACCTT